CGTCTGATGTACATTATCCGACAGACGACTAATGATAATAGTTGATCATCCATTACAAGTCGTAGGTTTAAAAACATTTTGAAACAAGAGAGCAACAACATAGAAGTCATCCATTACAAGTCCACTAGAAGCAGATTACAATAAGACAATAGCAAGACAAGCAACATCTCATTTAGGAAGAGACGAGGAAGTTGAGGCACCATCCACAGCATCATCCCCTTGAGGAGGACCGAAAGGAGTCACATGAAATACCATGTCTCCTTCCTTTTTGAACACTACAATGTCACCGATGCAAAGAGAGTGTGCTTGGGCGAAGGCTTTCCAACCATCGGTGAGTGTTCTTCCTTCTTGTATAACTTCCCAAGTTTGGTGTAAAGCGTCTGATCGTAGTGTCCATTTTCCTTGGTTCGGCTTGCCTTCTATGTGTTTTGAGTAGAAGGCAAGAGGTATTGTCCACAAGTCAACAAAGGAGAATTTAAGCAAAGGAAATAAACAGAGGAGAAATAGAGAGCGTGTGTATACCACACCACTGCAGAAACCAGGAAGCAGAGTCTTCAAGAAGTGAGGTTCATGCTGATTCGCCATCTGCAAACAAGAAACGAAATGGAAACATTTTAATCCTAAGTCTGGAAGACTTATATTAAGTCGTCTGGGTCGTCCACCTGGATGACTTTCCAGACGACTTATATTAAGTCGTCTGGGTCGTCGACCTGGAAGACTTTCCAGACGATTTAATTATAAGCCTACCAAGACTTCCAGTAGAACATTTGAAAGCTGACCAGGCGAATGAGAGGAGAACAACATCCAACCTAACTAGACCACAAATCGATTGAAATCCCCAATCTTTGAAACCCTAATTTGAAATGAAAATATCCACAAATTGCTTGAAATCACAAATCGTAACCGTGAAATGAGAGGAAAACAACATCCAACCTAACTAAACAACAAATCGATTGAAATCCCCAATTTTTAAAACCCTAATTTGAAACCAAAATTTCCCGAAATCGTTGAAAACACAAAACCAAACGGTAGAAGTAAAGGAAAACAACATCCATCCTAATAAAAACCCATAAATCTACAAGAGAAGCCTTCGATTTACCTTGGTCTTGTATCGGATTGAAATTGCCTCGAAATCACCTTTGAGAGAAACGGCGTTAGGGTTTTCTGAATTTCGCGAAAAAGTGAGAAAAAAAGAACATCTTATATATGTCCGGTCAAAAATACGGTTAGGTTCAAAAGTAATTTGGTAAAATCCGGTTTGGACGACTTATAATTAAGTCGTCTGTTGATACTATAAGACGACTAAGTCGTCTGCCTTATTAAATATATTTACCAGACGACTTAACTATAAGTCGTCCAGACCCTAAACCCTAAACCCTAAACGAAATTGACTAAATTAACTAACTAACCACGTTATAAAATCAAATTATACTTAAATATTGTTTACTATACACATAAATAAACACACTTAGGTAAATTTTTAATTTTTCAAAAAAAAACATTTATGCTTTCGAAAATCTAACCCTAAGAAACACATACAATACTACAACATATGTTGGTGAAACCTAAACTAAAGAATATCATGACTCACTACTTTCACTCATCTATGCTGAAAACAACTGACTTTTGTTATATCGTAATTTATATCTCTTAAGACATATGTTAATTACATAATTCCAATTTTTCATTTATCAAAATATTTATCACACAATTTTTAAATTATTTTTAAGAAAAACTGTCCCAGATGACTTTCAACTAAGTCGTCCGTCGTCTGGGAAGACGACTTGCGAGGGCTAGAAACGTAAAAAGAATACATTTTTTTTTGTTCACAAGAGATTAGTTGTAATTTCAATAGTCTTTTAAATTACTTTTGCATTTGATTCAAGTTTGGGTTTATTTTTGCATTTCAAATCAAGTTTTGAGTCATATTTGGCAATTTTCCCATATATTTTCTACAAAATTATTTAAAGGTACTATGGTCTTTGACTATCAAAATTTTAAGGGTAAAGATGATTAATGTAAAGGTGAAATAGTATATCATGAATATGCTAGTTTTAGCAATTTCCCTTTAGTTAGGGAAAATTGCATAAATACACATTTTTAGATACACTAATTCACATTTACCTTAAGAAAAAGTACATTTTCAAAAATACACTATTCTTAACCCTAAATTTTATATTCTTAACCCTTAACCCTGAATTCTAGACTATATATTTTCTACAAAATTATTTAAAGGTACTATGGTCTTTTCACTATCAAAATTTTAAGGGTAATGATGATTAATGTAAAAGTAAAATAGTATATCATGAATATGCTAGTTTTAGCAATTTTCCTTTAGTTATCTACACATCACATGAGTAATCTTTCTAAATTGAAGAGTATAATGCATTTTGGATCTTGACCTTCTTTGCTCGACGGACGTCCGTTAGACTGACAAAAATAATCGAGACTCAAGCACATAGATAGAGAAGATGCAGCAGATGCTGATTATGGTGGTGGCTTTTTATAGCGTTATGGACTTACTTGAGGATCTTCAACTCTGCATCTTATCCAAAAAGCTAATATCTTAGCTTTGTTGAATTCCAATGAATGAAATTTTTGTAAAGAAGAAAGCAGAGAATACAAAGGAGGGAGAGGTGACAAAACCGTGTAATCTCTAAAGGAAAAAGGAGATAAGATGATCAAGTGTCAAAAGAGGCAAGTTATGTCTTTTAGGGTTATCAAGACAGAACAACATCATGTTTGTTTAAGACAACTCTAATGCTTATGCTTCTTGAGGTTCTCAGAACAGCCATGAATCTTTCAAGGTTTTTCTTTGTGTGAATGTTTGCAGATTTCGAAGAGAGGAAGGGAAGCTATCAGCTGCACAAGGAGAAATTAGAAGCTGCCCTTAGAACTCTTTGACTTATATAAAAGTGCACAAAAACCAATCAAAAACATGACTTGCTTGAATCACATGTGAAGTTGGAGAAGAAGAAATCAGCATCAATGGTAAGATCTTGTACAATCTTCAAACAACCAAGTTGAAAGCATGAGAGATGAGGAGTCCAGTGATCAACAAGAGCAAGAGAATCACCAAATCTCCAAAAACCCATTGAAGATCACCTCATCTTGTCCAAAGACATGACTTTGTTTGCTGCTGGTGTTGATTGCAGAGAGTATGGACTGCTTTATCATTAACCAAGAAGACATAATTAAGTTGTTTCTTAGGCAAATCTCCAAGAGAGCACATTTCTAAGTTTATGTTACAAAAATAGTTTTCAAAAACTAAAATGACCAAAATAGCATTTTATCGTTTGAAAATTTTAAATTCTTTTTTATTTTTCAAAAATTGAAATCTTATCCCCAAAACCTCACTCCCCAACTCTAAACCCTAAAACCTAAATTCTAAACCCTAAACTCTTAACCCTAAACCCTAAATTCCACCCCATAATCTTAAACCTAATGTCTAAATTAATTTATCATTGGGATATATGTGTATATTTATCTCTTTTGATAAAAGAGTAAGTATTATTTTGGTCATTTTTATTCTCAAATGCTATATTTGTGATAAAAACTTTTTAGTGCTATTTTAGTCATTTTCTCTTGTTTCTTTCTGCAAACACAATTTTCATTTTAAGCATGAACCATCAGATTTTTAAAACAAATAACTATTATCAAAATAAACATTTCTTTATAAAATTATTCTAAAAACCTCCAGAAGCGTAGCGCGGCTATTTACCTAGTTATATATAAGATATACTATTGTATTTCGTTTTTCAACATGTACTGCAAAATTAAATTTTAATGAATGGTTAATAAATTTACGTATTTTTAATCTGATATATATATAATTTTACGTATTTTTTTAATCTGATATACATATATATTACTTTAAAAAATTATTTAATGTCAATTTATTGATCAATATCTCATTTTTATTCAGTCTTTAATTTTCTATGAATTTTTTTTCTTTTATAAATGAATGTGTTTCATATATATGAAAACACAATAAATAAATCTGTTAATTTGATATATTAAATGAAAATATTTTGGTATTTTAACCTGCAAAAAGTTAGTTTTTATAAATTTTTGATTGTTTTTACCAATGTTTTAATTAATTAAATCATTTACATTAAGATTAATAAGAAAACTATTAAAAAGTGAGATCTAATGTTTTATATTGTTTGCACACAAGTTAAGTTATTATATTGTTTGCACACAAGTTAAGCTATTCTACATAATTCGTTAATGATTTTTTTTGTGTGTTTATTAATTATAGAATCACATATGACTAAAGGTTTAGTACTTATCAATGTTTCTATTTTAATAAAAAAGATGAAGCGAAAAAACAATTTTATCAGGTGCATCCATTCAAATTACAACATATTTTGTAAAGAAGCAGAGACGATGAGCTTCGAACCATACCATAGCGGTTCTTGAGCTTCCTGATATAGAACAAGTTCTTAAAGGCAACTTACACTTACACAGAAAAAAGAACAAAACACAACATAACATAACTAATATATATGTATATGTACTAAGAAAATTATGATATAAGAAAATGCAGTTTTAGCATGCATTTCGTCCATAACCATACTTCCAGGATGTAGTTTTGATATAGAATTTATTTTTATAGAAATTAGGACCACCTTTCAAATTTTGACATGCCGACATTACGTACTCGTAAATTACCAAACAACAGGGGATTAACTGTATATTACGCTAAAGTGAATATAATTTTCGTTCCTTACAGTATACAGCTTACTTACAGTGATAAACAATACTAACAAAGACTGCAAACGCAACATACAATACAAAATAACTTTCTTTCGTTCCCTATGCAATATGAAAAGTGAAGAGTTCTTAATTAGCACAGAATTTCCCAAGCTTAACTTTTTGACTTTTATCTCTCTAATCATCTGCTAATCATCCCTTCACATCACTATAAAAAAACCCCACGTACAAAAGTTCATGTTATCATATTTTATTCCGTCTCAAATTATAAACAAAATTTAAAAATGCCGATTCTAACTCCAGTCATCAAACTCGTGGTTTTCAGGCAAAGTCTTCGACCACATTCCGCTGTTGCATTCCTCGTTGAGTTCCTCTGCTTTGTCTTAGAGCTACTCGACAAGGAGAAAGATCTAACAAAGATATTCGGCATCGTTTCTGCTTGCGACACATTAATCTTCACTATGCTCGATATAATCCAAAGTCTGATCGAAGAAGAAGTGAAAATACGAAGATGCGGTCAAGTGTTTTGGCTTTACAAAAAGGATGGGAGTCTTTATTGGCACACACTAAACGCATATCTTCTGATGTTATGCGTTGTCCACGTCATTGGCTCTGCGCTCTCTTATAGTTCTCGTAGACGTTATCTAGTCTTGCTCCCGCTTTTTGTTGCCGGCCTTGAACTTCTTCCTCAAGAGGCATATCAGGTCATTGGAAATGATCAGAGTCAGAGCCTTCAAGATTTCGTTGGGCCGGATCAAGTGCCACAAGATTGTATTGGGCCTCTTCAGAACCCATTAGATGGTATTGAGCTGGAGAAAGGTGACAGAGTGCTAGATCAAGAAGTTGCTGACCATGTTTGCGCCTGATGGTGGCTCGTAAGAAAATATTAAGGCTTGCAGTGGAATATAGGCTGAAAAGACTGCATATATTTATATGGATGTATGTATGTGTTTGACGTACTGTCTTAAAACTGTTATGCACTCTTAGTTGATAATTAGAAGACAATCGTATGTGGGATGTGGTAATATAAGAGAATGTTCACAAAAACTTATTATGAATTAAAGATATGAAAATATGTATTTAAAAATGTTCTTTTTTTGTTTTGTCGACTCACTGGGCACAATAGACCTTTAAAAATGTTTTTTTTTTTTTTGTCGACTCACTGGGCACAAAAGACCGGCCCATATGCCCCACTAGGCTCACCGCATGAGGCAGGGTTCGTATCCTTGGAGATTAATGTGGTATGCAGTCCACCTGTTCTAGAAGTTCCCGGCTAAAAGTCTTTTATTATTGTGAATGTTTTATTCAGGTAACTAGATGCATAGTCCCCGTGCAAGCGCGGAGTTGGATACATTGTTGATGTGTTGTGTAGTTTTGTGTATGAGACTTTGCTGTTTTTTTTTTTACATTTGTTTATCTGGCTTATCTATAATGGTGATGAATGAAACATTAGAAATCACACAACTTAATTAGTCTGATAAAAGAATAAACATCGAATTCATATGAGTTGATATTTTCATATTTTATCTTCGTAGTGATTTTATCGAGCATTCCCTTTATTAGTGATTTTATCGAGCATTCCCTTTATTAATGATTTTATCGAGCATTACTTTTATTAGTGCTTTCATGTAAAAAAATAATTTAATGGAGACAAGACATAAAAGGATATGTGTTTATTAGTGTAATTTTCTTTCTGAAATTATGTTGTATATATATATATATATATATATATATTTTTTAATTATGATGTATATGAGATTTATGGCCGATCTGAATAGTTCGGGTAAATATTTATTATTGAAAAATATGTTTTTATTTTATTTGATGATTATAACTGAATTAAAATGATATTGGAGGTTAGAATATGATAGCCTTTCTTATAAAAGTATCTAAGATGGTCTCATAAAGTTTCAAATCCTTGAGCCATTTTGTATCCCAACAACCAACATAAAAAATCATTCTGAATCTCCCTAAGCTTTTAGGTATCCCAAAAAGCCCAAATTAAAAAAAAAAAAATTACATGCAAACACTGCGTTTCGAACCTGCGCACTGCAATTATTTTATTTTCTTTCTGAATTTATGTTGTATATATATATTTTTTTAATTGTGATGTATATGAGATTTATGGCCGATCTGAATGGTTCAGGGTAAATATTTATTATTGAAAAAATATGTTTTTATTTTATTTGATGATTATAACTGAATTAAATTGATATTGGAGGTTAGAACATGATAACCTTTCTTATAAAATTATCTAAGATGGTCTCATAAAGTTTCAAATCCTTAAGCCATTTTGTATCTCAACAACCAGCACAAAAAATCATTCTGAATCTCCCTAAGCTTTTAGGTATCCAGAGAAGCCCAAATTAAAAAAAAAAAATTACATACAAACACTGCGTTTCGAACCCACGCACTCGCGGTACCAACTTCTCGTCACCAACTTACACCACTGGGCCATTTCATCACTCATCGATAACATTCAATCTTACAAAATGTTATACGTTTTTGTTTTCCCTAAGAACACGCGCGGAGCCCGCAAACTTGCTGAGGTGGATAGGCTTAGGAGCCTTGAAAGTGTATCATTATAATATAGATTAGTTTTTAACGTGGATATCCAGCGAATCGAGACTTAACCGATAAATCCCTAAAAATTTGTGTATCGGTACCAGACAGATTTGATTGCTTGTTAGAAATATTAGATACTACTGTCACCTGGCTAGATAATCTAAGACCATAAATAATGAGGGTGTTGAAACCCCCATTCAACAGTTGAATAACATATAGCGAGGGTGTTGAATTTTAATGTTTATCGACGTGTATTCAACATGCGTTGGAAAGTTTCAGCTGTTGAAATTTTTTTTTATGGTCTCAGACAGTCACGTGTCGCGACGTGAGTTGCTGAAACCTATGGGGCGCGTGCACTCACGCGCCGGGATGACATGCTGTATTTTTTGTTTCTTTAAATTTAAATTATCTCTCTTCTAATTGGCTGTACAGATTTTTTTTTATCTTATCCCTCCCAATAATTCAAACCCATTTATTTTATGATAAAATTATTTTTTTTTAAAATAAAAATTATATCAAATTCAAGGTTTTTTTTTCTCTATAAATAGAGACCACTCTGATTTCGTTTGGATACAGAAAAAACACCATTTTTCATTATAATTAACTATTTTAGTGTTTTAATCTTCTTTTTTATTAAATAGATCCTAATAATAATCCGTTTAACACTCAAAACTCTTCTAATTTTCCGTTTAATTTCAAAATCCCAACAATTATCAATTTCCAACCACCAGACTTCCAACCAACCCCAAAATTTGCCAAATTATGGTTTCTATATGCCATCATCTGTTCCGAATTATCCTTCAAATTATGGTCCGGTGATGCAATATTATTCTGAAAGACCTCCTCTTTCTTCTATTCCGACGGGTGATGAAAATGTTCCGAGAGCAACTGAATTTCCCGACTTTTCCACGCAAATAGCTCTTGGTGGCATGAGCGGTGTTAGTGAACCCACCCCAAAAGAAAATGCAGATGATTCAGCTCAAGCTCACCGCAGAATAAAAATGGAATGGGTGCTGAAACCATTGTGTATGGTCTTATAAGACTATGTAGAATCGCTAGTGTACACTCAGTACTGGCTGTACACGCACTAGTGTACACTCAGTACTGGCTTTACACGCACTAGTGTACACTTTTTAGTGTACTGGCTGTACACGCGCTAGTGTACACTCGCTAGTGTACACTCAGTACTGTATACTCAGTGTACACTCGCTATTTATATGTTATTTTAATTTTTAATTTAATTATTATTATGTAATTATTCTATTATAAAAAAGCAAATAATATGAATTAAAAGTTGTGGGGTGGAGTGTTGAATTTTTTAAAACAAACTATTGTAGAGGTTTAAATTGAAGTGAGTGTTGAATAAATGAGGTGGAAGAAAGAGAAAATGATGTGGAATGTAAGAAATGGAAAATGAGAGTGTTGAAAAGGGGAAGGGTGTTGAAACCATTGTTGATGGTCTAAGTAGTTTGACCATGAATATCTTTAAACCCTTCGTAGGTTTCTTAATTATTTTTTAGTCTGAAATAAATAAAAAAAAAAGAAAAATTCAAAAACGAACCAATCCTTGGTCGCTACGTGTTTGTAGAACCTACAAACAGTACAAAAAACCACAGAAGTCGACTCTTAAATAGTAATTTTGGGGACTGGTTTTTAAAAAAATTGTGGGGTCTACAACCTAAAAATCCTTCTAAAAACCCCTATATTTGTGTTCTTAGATTTGAATAAGTGGCATTTTGTAATTTCTGATAAACCCTTGTGTAACACTTGTGTGTTTGATATTGATTTTTTTGTTCCACTAGAGCCGGTTACATCCCGATATTTATAGCAATAGACATATTTGTATATGTATTTTATTCAATCTTTTCTCGTTTCTTCACTTCTTATTATCTTCATGCCTTATATATTAAACTAGTGGTTTGCCGGTGCTACGCGCCGGCTTCGTATGTGTTATTTGAAAATAAAATTACAAATTATTTAATTGAGTTGGTAAAGCTATTATGTTTGAAAATATGATTTTGACAATATGTTGAAGATTATGTTATTTTTCTGATTAGAAGTGGAATAGCATAGGTGGTTGTCATTGATTTTTGGTTTATTTTTCCATATTTTTCTTTATTTATATTTTATTCCATTGTCTCATTTGTTTTTTAATTTGTTTGAGCAACTCATCTTATATAAACTTGTGTTTTTTTTTTGTATTTAATTTGTGAATGCTAGGAAATACACATTTATTAAAAAGATGAAAAACGTATTAAAGCCACGAATGAAACAAACGAACTTGGCAGGCATGATCTTGAAGTTAACGGAGGAAAAGGTTTAATCGCTGATCCAAAAACCAAGTATGTCTATCAACGACCATGAATTATTCACACCCGGAAGGGTGAAAAGATTATCAAGACAGTTTTGCTTTATATACTGAGTTATCTACTGAGTTGTGTGTGTTGCTCTGTTTTTTTTGTGCAATATTTGTTTATTCTTTCATGTTTGATCCAAGACTTTAGCTACCCTTTTTGTAATGAAGAACTCTCTGCGGCGTAAGAGGGAAGGACCATTTGTTAGTAATTATCGTAGATTAAATTTGAAACCTTTGTTATAATACTTGTTTATAAGTTTTTATAGTCTTACTGAATATTGATCGTACAAAGTACTGGAATTGAATTCTACATGTTAAGAGTAATTATATAACTCCGTGTTGATTCTACATGTTAAGAGTAATTATATAATGTAAAATAATGGTCTATTATTTTAGATTATTTTTGTTTTAGTATAGCTTGTATTACTATTATTTTCTACTTTATTTTGAAGAAAAAAAGGCAATGAAAACAATTTAAATTAAATGTTACTAGAAGTTACATAAATTTTTGAAGATATATATCCTGTTATATTTTATTATTACAGTTTTTATTGACTGGAATTTTTTTTATCACTAATATATTATACTTTTGTCGACATATAAAAACTTATGTTAATATATGTAATTTTATTTCAGTCGTTTAATTATAATTTCTCTATTTTATAACATTAGTGATTAATATATATATACATACCCTTTTCTATATTTTATAATTTATTTCAGTCGTTAATATATATCCTGTTTTATTTTATTATTTCAGTTTTTATTGACTGGAATTTTTTTATCCCAAATATACTATATACTTTGTCGACATATAAAAACTTATGTTAATATATGTAATTTTATTTCAGTCGTTTAATTATAATTTTCTATATTTTATAATTTTAGTGATTAATATATATATATATATATATATATATATATACTATTTAAATTTACAATAAC